CTAACCGCGGCCGCATGTCGCTCGTTCTCCCGCGCGTCACTCGCAGCTGCGCTCCGCAGCCCGGGTGCATTCTCCTCTCGGTCTCCGCGCTTCTAACGTGAGCGCGATGAAAAAAAGGCCGCGTTCAAGCTGACGTGAAGGAACACGCTCGGAACACCAGCTTCCTCCTCCTTCGTTCGAACGCCGGCCCTCCGGCATTCCTCCCCCTTTTATCACGGAGGACCGGTCACTTTCGTTCCCTTTTTTCTTTTTTTCGTCCGCGTTTCACCTTTTTTTTCTCTCTCTCTCTCTCTCTTTTGCTTTTGTTCGTCGCGTTGCATCGACGAGGGGTTCCAGTTTTTCAGGCTTCCGAATTTAATGCAGGCGAGATGGATTCGCGTGTTTCAGCGGTATGGGTTAAAGGTGTGTTCGAAGTGTCGTTGCCTTTTTGAATATGTTATATATATATAAGCGTGTGTGTATAAGAGGTGTGATAATATCCTCTCCCCCTCCGGTTAGATGCGAAACAATACGGGAAGGAAGGAGGGGTAATGTTCGTCTTTTTTTTTTAGTTGAAAGCATTAAGGTATCGCGATAATTAATTGCGATCTCTCGACGCGAAGAGGGAGAAAACGATGACTCTTGGTTTTCATCGAGTCAAACGCGATCTGTACGGTCCATTGTGAAGCCGGCGACAACGAGCTTTGCTTACTCGTCGCTTACTCGCTTAAATGCGCGCAGGTAAAAAGGGATGGAAAATTATTACGATTTGGCGAGAGAAGAAGCGAGATTGAATGTGTCGCGAGGTGTTCCCTCTGTTGGGAAAACTTGCCGTTTCGCGATTTCGCTGGCTGTCTTAGGGAAAAAAATTTCCATCGGGCGGAAACGCGCGCCCGAACACCCGAAGGATAATGACGACACGCGGAGATGGCGCAATAATCTAGCTCGTCGTCTCGACGTGCCAGAGAGAGAGAGAGAGAGAGAGAGAGAGAAACGACAGGAAAATCCGCCTTCTTTTTGCCAGAGTTCTCGCGTTTGACCCTCTCGCATCGCACTTTGACGGAGTGCATTTCGAATGAATACCGTGAAAAGTTTTTAACGAGTGCACTCTCTCTCTCTCTGCTGCCGTCTCGCTGCAACGCCCCTCCGCGTCTAGCGAAAATGACGACGACGCTTCGCCGAGATTCGAAGGTGTGAACGACGCTATCGCTCGGAGAAAAATATTCCAACGAGATTGTTGGAACGCTGAACTTACCGCCTCGCTTGCGATTGAAGACACGCGACAATCGTAGGAGGAGAAAAACGACTGGGTGGAGATGTGATACGAAGTAACGTATTCTTCTTCAAGATTTATCCATCCGATATTGCTGGATGGAGACGGTATCTTTTTAATCACTCTTCTCAATCGTCAAAGCATAGGGACCTCGATCAGGAGGATTGATTTTTTTTTTTTTTTTTACGCGTACGACTTGTTTCAACGACTCGAGGCGCGATTATTAAGCATTATCGTGGGAATTAATCGCGTCTCATCGATCGAACGCAACAACGTTCGAAGAGAGAAAGGTCTAATCAACCGGAGATTGCGGTAGGGACGCGGATTTCCATCGCAGTCCCATTGAAGTTGTTTGAAGCAGGGGGTCGGTCTCTTGTCGTCGCTGTCTCGCGACAGACACCGGGGGAAGGTGAGAACGCCGCAGGATTTCGTGCGGTCAATGCGCAGCCTGAACTCTGCCCAGGGATTCTAAGTACGGATTCTGAGGCGCAACGGGCTTCAAACTTGGCTGGAACCTTCTCCTCCCCCTGCCCTCCCCTCTCGTCTATGTGCACACGTCCCTGTGTGTACTTGAAGGCGCGGTTCCGTGTATCGACTGGCGCGCGCATAAGCGCGCGTGTACCCGTGAACGATGGGGTGGAAGCGCTTGAATACCGACAGCTCCTTCCTTCCCTCCGGGACAAAGTTTCAAGGGAGCCTTGCCCGAGTATATCTGTGTTTCGACTCGTTCGATCGTTCTCGGGATTTACGCGGTGCGGCGATCTCGAACGGGCAGTGCGTTCGCCCGCGCGAATCCATAAAGGCCAAAAACCCTTTCGAGAGTTGAAAATTCTCGATTTCGATTCGAGAATCCTTTTCTCTCGAACTCGGCTCATCCGATCTTTGAATAGAGAAACGTGTTCGCTGAAATAAACCGCGTGATTTGAAAAAATTAAAATTGATAATTATAAACGGATAGCTTTACGCCTTTTAGATTCTCGAGAGATAAGGTGAACTTTTGAACCTGGAATGAAATGATCGAG